AGCGGTTCTCTCAGGGGCAGTCCTCGAGAGAGCTCTCTCAGCCCCACTGACCTCACAGGGTGCCTGTTGTGGGGAGGGGAAGGAGATTGTAAGCCGCTCTGAGACTCCTTCCGGTAGTGAAGGGTGGGGTACAAATCCAATCTCTTCTTCTTCTTCTCCTCCATCCCCTCTGTTGTGGGGAGGGGAAGGGAAGACGGTTGTCAGCCGCTCTAACTGAGGGGCAGGGTATAAATCCGATTCTTCTTCTTCTCCATCTCCTCTGCACTTTCCAGATACCCCCTACTGCCCTCCCCTGTAGAACCAGTTTGGTGCAGTGGTTAGGAGCGTGGACTCTAATTCGGGAGAACCGGGTTTGATTCCCCACTCCTCCACATGCAACTGCTGGTGTGACCTTGGGTCAGTCACAAGTTCTTTCAGAGCGGTTTGTTGTCTCAGGAGCCGTCCTCGAAAGAGCTCTCTCAGCCCCACCTACCTCACAGGGTGTCTGTTGTGGGGAAGGGAAGGAGATTGTAAGCCGCTCTGAGATTCCTTCCAGTAGTGAAGGGCGGGGTACAAATCCAATCTCTTCTCCTCCTCCATCCCCTCTGCACTTTCCAGCTACCCCCCCTGCCCTTCCCCGGTGGGAACTGAGCTTCCCTTGAATCGGTGCCCTTTGAACAGTGATGGGCTTTAATCTGGGAGCAGCGCTAAGCAGATTTCAAGGAGTAACAAACGCCTCCTTCTCTTCCTTCCCTTCCTTCCTTCCGCACCTCACCCACCCCGGCACGTTTTGCCGCGTTTGCCTTGATCAAAGCCTTGCATTTCAATGTGTCTCTCTCCCTCTGCACCACCCCCTGCCCCCACCCCCACCGCTAAAGGGATGCTGTCAGGAAATTAAGCATGAGCCCGGGCGCTCTGCCGTTGGAGATGGTGGCTTCAGCTTGTCGTCATTCATTGATTGGGTGCTCGCATCGCGTTGGCAGACGAGAAATGCGTTCTGATATCTGCTCCCCATCTCCTCCCCCCCGCCCCCTTTTGCTTCCTCCAGTCAGCTGAAAGAGTCCGACAAGGACCGGCGATTGTCTGTGGAGATCTGGGACTGGGACCTGACCAGCAGGAACGATTTCATGGGATCTCTCTCTTTCGGGATCTCGGAGTTGCAGAAAGCCGGGGTGGACGGCTGGTAAGGGACGTTTGGACCTGCAGAGGCCCAGGGTGGGCCCACGCGCTCATCCCGCAGGAAATGAAACTCCGTAGGTAGGTAGGTAGAGAGATAGATAAAGATAGATAAAGATAGACAGAAAGATATAGATAGTTATAGATAGATAGATAGATAGATAGATAGATAGATATAGATATAGATATAGATATAGATATAGATAGATAGAAAGATAGATAGATAGATAAAGATAGATATAGATAGATAAAGATAGATATAGATAGATAGATAGATAGATATAGATAGATAGATAGATATAGAGATATAGATAGATAAAATAGATTAGATAAATATATTAGATAGATAAAATAGATTAGATAGATAGATAAAATAGATTAGATAGATAGATAGATAGATAGATAGATAAGATAGATGATAAATTAGATAGATAGATGTAATGGGGCATGATAACACTTGCAGATTGTCCCAGCGTAGAGAGAAAAATCTGGCCTGGAAGGATTGCCTGGTGCTGGGTAATTTCCTGGCATCCCACCCACTTTCCAGAAGGGATTCTGCAACGCACTTTGTGTGAGCTCCAGAGGACTAGCACCTTGTCTCCAGGGCCTCGTAGGCACCGCGAGCCCGGACATGATTCCGCCACCAGGCCTTCGCCAGGCCAGCGGTTCCAGCAGATGCGAGGCAAGGCCCAGCTGCTGTCTTGGTAGTCAAGGGCAAGCTCTGAGTTGGCCCCTGGGATCCTCATCCCCAAAGTGAACCCGGGTGTTCCCCAGTCAGAATCCTGTGGTGGGGCACGGCCCAATCCTGGTAAACATGGCCCAGGCGGGCTGAGAAATGAGCACAAACTGGCCACCAGCCTCTGCAGTACATAAGAACATAAGAGAAGCCAATGCTGGATCAGGCCAGTGGCCCATCAAGTCCAACACTCTGTGTCACACAGCGGCCAAAAATACTCTCTGTCACACGGGTGCCCTCAGGAGGTCCAGCAGAGGGGCCAGGACACTAGAAGCCCTCCCACTGTTGACCCCCCAAGCACCAAGAATACAGAGCATCACTTGCCCCAGACTGAGAGTTCCTACCTATACCTTGTGGGTAATAGCCACGGATGGCCCTCTGCTCCATATGCTTACCTAATTCCCTCTTGAAGCCGTCCATGCTTGTAGCCGCCACCACCTCCTGTGGCAGTGAATTCCATGTGTGAATCACTCTTTGGGTGAAGAAGGACTTCCTTTTATCTGTTCTAACCCGACTGCTCAGCCATTTCATGGAGTGCCCAAAAGTTCTTGTCTTCTGACAAAGGGAGGAAGGTACCTCTTCCTCTACCTGCTCTGTCCCACGCATCATCTTAGAAACCTCGATCATGTCGCCCCTCAGCCGTCGTTCCTCCAAGCTAAAGAGCCCCAAGCGCTTTAACCTTTCTTCACCGGGAAAGCGTTCCAACCCTTTGATCATCCGAGTTGCCCTTTCCTGCACTTTCCCCAAAGCTATAATACCCTTTTTGAGGTGTGGTGACCAGAACTGTACGCCGTACTCCAAATGAGGTCGCACCATTGATTTATACAGGGGCATGATGACAGTGGCTGGTTTGTTTTCAGCTCCCTTCCTAATAACCCCCAGCAGAGCGTTGGCCTTTTTAAAAATTGCAGTCGCACACCGCCTCGACGTTTTCAGTGAGTTATCTACTACGACTCCAAGATCTCTCCCTTGGCCAGTCTACGCCAGCTCAGACCCCATCGACGTGTATTTATAGTTAGGGGTTTGGACTCCAGTGTGCAACACGGAGCTGGGGTCTCAGGCCTTGCCGGATGCCTCAAGGGGGAAACGGAGGCCGTGTCCCCGTTTCCGGCGCGGCACGGAGGAAGCCCTCCCAGAGCTCTGCTGCGGCTCTTTCAGGTAGGCGACCCCCCCCCCGCTCTGAGTGGAGAGGGCCCGCCAGTCACGCAGGGCTCCTTTTAACTCATTTGCATATTAGGCGACACACCCCTAGTGTAGCCAATCCCCCGAGAGCTTACAGTAGCCCCTGTAAGAAGAGCTCTGTAAGCTCTCGGAGGATTGGCTACATTAGGGTGTGTGTGGCCTAATAGGCAAAGGAGTCCCTGCTACAAAAAGAGCCTCCTCCCAAAAGGAAAGCCGCCTTCCAGGCAGGCATTACGGTGTTCCCGCCACCTGTGGAGCTGCCTCCCGCTGGGGACATTAGAGCGCATTAAAAAGCACATAAACAGCTCCTCGGCTGCATTTTTAAAAACCGGTGAGTGGCACTCTAAGTAATTTTCCTTGTCTCGGGGTATGGCTCAATGAATCCTGGGGGGAGGGGGAGGCTCATCTGCATTTCCCCCTCGCCCGTTTGTAGAGGGGAGGAGGTGCGAAGTAGAGTGCGGCCCTGTCTGACACAAGACCCGCTCTGTTCATTCTCCATGGGGCGCACAGACCCCCCCCCCGTGGATCGTGTCCAGTGTTCCCTCTAAGCTTGAGTTAGTGTGAGCTAGCTCACAGTTCTTTAGCCTCCAGCTCACACATTTCTGTCTCGGCTCAGGAAGGAGGGCTCCAGAGCAAACTCATTGATGCCGCAGCCAAATCTGCTCGCTCACGACTTTAATGCCAGTAGCTCACAAAGTAGACCTTTTGCTCACAAGACTCCACAGCTCAGAGGGAGCATTGATTCGTGTCCTGCTGATCTGGCGCTCTTCTCTGCTGCCGAGATCTCTTTGACAGACCCGGGCCGGAGCCTGAGGGCGCAGCTTTCTTCCGGAGTGGCAGTTCTGCCGTTCCCTGCAATGGAGGATTCTTTTGTGTGCCACCAGATGGCGGGACGCCGGGCCTGGTGGCTCCTGAACGGCCTGCCGACCTCCGATGTGGGTTCTGGGGTGCTCCCTGGAGCGCTGCCTTCGGGGCAGCCCTTGCAAGATGAGGCCCACTCCGCGGGGTGGCTTCTTGGCGCCGGAGGGCACAGAAGCGGCGGCTGGCACGTTGCCCCTCTCAGCTGCTCCGTGTCAGCGGCCAGATCTTCGAGGCCAGGGGTGGCACTTGTCGAGCAGCTGCAGTGGCCGGCGCCTCGGTCCCCGGGGGGTTCAGGCAGCGTTGCCAACCTCCATGCAGAGACTGGAGAGCTCCCACTATTACAGTGGGTCTCCTGGCAACAGAGATCAGTTTCCCCGGGAGAAAACGGCTGCTTTGGAGGGGGGACTCTGGGGCATTATCCCTCACGGAGGCCCCTCCCACCACTAAGCCCCGCCCTCTTCGGGCCCCACCCCCCTATCTCCAGGTATTTCCCAACCTGGAGCTGACAACCCTCGGCTCAGCCTGTGCCCCACGGCTGTGACCTCCGACCCCTTCCGAGCACCAAGCAGCTGCCCTGGTCTCCTGCCCCGACTACTCCCCACTTCTCCTAGCCCCTTAGCAGAGACCCTTCCCCATTTGGCTGCATTGGCCCTGGATTCAGGCACCACCAGCTTTACTGGCAGCTGCCCTGGGGGTGCACAGAGTTCTCTCCCCCCCGCGGGGAGGTGTGATCCTCTAAAGGTGAGGGTGCCAGGTGAGGCTGGGTCATGGCTGTTTCTTGGAAGAGAGAGCTGGAGACGGCAGGCTTTCTCACAAGGATCGGTCTGTTGGAAGGTGTCGTGGCAGAACACAGGGCCCTGGTGTGTGGCTGCATGCCCATTTGGGCATTGCCCAAAGCGCTAAGAACACATAAGGACATAACGGACATCAGAAGAGCCCTGCTGGATCAGACCAGTGAAGGTCCATCTAGTCCAGCCTCCTGTCTCACACAGGGGCCAACCAGTTCCTCTGGAGGGCCATCAGCAGGGCAGGAAGGCCAAGAACCTCAGAAGAGCCCTGCTGGATCAGACCAGTGAAGGTCCATCTAGTCCAGCCTCCTGTCTCAATCAGGGGCCAGCCAGTTCCTCTAGAGGGCCAACAACAGGGCAGGGAGGCCAAGAACCTCAGAAGAGCCCTGCTGGATCAGACCAGTGAAGGTCCATCTAGTCCAGCCTCCTGTCTCAATCAGGGGCCAGCCAGTTCCTCTAGAGGGCCAACAACAGGGCAGGGAGGCCAAGAACCTCAGAAGAGCCCTGCTGGATCAGACCAGTGAAGGTCCATCTAGTCCAGCCTCCTGTCTCAATCAGGGGCCAGCCAGTTCCTCTAGAGGGCCAACAACAGGGCAGGGAGGCCAAGAACCTCAGAAGAGCCCTGCTGGATCAGACCAGTGAAGGTCCATCTAGTCCAGCCTCCTGCCTCCTGCCAGCAACAGGGCAGAGAGGCCAAGACTTCCCCCTGATGATGCCTCCTGGCTTTAGGTTTCAGAGTTTAATGCCTCTGAATGTGTTCCCTTTAGACCTCATGGCTGGTAGCCCTTGATAGACTTATCCCCCATGAATCTATCTAATCCCCTTTCCAAGCTGTTTATTCCTGTGGCCATCACTACATCCCCTGGCAGTGGATTTCGCATTTTAATCACTCTCTGTGTAAATCAGTAGTTCCTTTTGTCTGTCCTGAACCTCCTTCCCATCAGCTTCATTGAATGCTCCCGAGTTCTAGTCTTTTGGGAGAGGGAGGAAAAAAATTCCCTTTGTCTCCCCCCCCCCCATACATACCACCACCACCCCAGTCATCTCTGCAAGCCAGGGAGGGCGGGTTATAAATTAGATGGATAAATAAATAATAAAGCTGCAATTTCCTTTTGACCGTCCTGAGCCTCCTGCCCGTCAGCTTCACCGGATGCCCTTGGGTTCTAGTCTTTTGGGAGAGGGAAAAGAAGTTCTCTTGGTCAACTCTCTCCACCCCGTGCATAATTTTATAAGCCTCTCTGTTGGAGTTATTGTTACTATTTTCTAAAGTTAATCAGCAGAGTAATCAGCATTCAGCAGAGTATTAAAGAGTCAGAGTCCATGGTGTGTTTAAAATATAAAAGTTTACTACAACCTAGCATGGGGAAAAGGTATACGGGATGTAAAATAACAAAGAGCTAATATTCCTACATCCTTGCAGCTAGACAGAATATGGCAGAAACCTAATGGAGACTGGACGAGACTTAACTTCTTCTTGCTCAGGACAAAGAGCCATAAAATGCTAATACTAGCCACTCGCGTCTCCAATCAGAACAACAAACTTGATCTGAAGTTGGCGGGCTTTCTAGCTCTCTAAACAGATTGGATACAAACAAACATGTGATTTAGTACACAGTATTAACCCAGTAAATACTGAACAGTGTTTTAACTTGTAACTCCCAACACTCTCTCATGTCCCCTCCTTAGTCGTCTCTTTTCTAAACACAAAAGTCCCAGACGCTTCGGCCTTCCCTCCGAGGGAAGGGGCTCCCAACCCCTTCATCGTCTTCGTCGCCCTCCTCTACGCTTCTTCCAGCTCTGCAGTGTCCTTTTCTGAGACGCAGCGACCAGAACTGTGCACCGTATTCCAAATGGGGCCGCACCATAGATCTCTACAGGGGGCGTTACAATATCAACCGTCTTATTCCCAGTCCCTTTCCTAACAGTCCCTAACACAGAGTTTGCCTTTTTCACTGCTGCGAGCAGGCTGGGTCGACACTTTCACTGAGCTATCCACGACGACCCCCAGATCTTTTCCAAGCCCTTTTCGCCCATTGGCCGAACGGCTGTGACATCACAGAGCAGGCTGGGTTGACACTTTCACTGAGCTATCCACGACGACCCCCAGATCTTTTCCAAGCCCTTTTCGCCCATTGGCCGAACGGCTGTGACATCACAGAGCAGTTTACACTTTCACTGAACTATCCACAACAACCCCCAGATCTTTTCCAAGCCCTTTTCGCCCATTGGCCGAACTGCCGTGACATCACAGAGCAGGCTGGGTTGACACTTTCACTGAGCTATCCACGACGACCCCCAGATCTTTTCCAAGCCCTTTTCGCCCATTGGCCGAACTGCCGTGACATCACAGAGCAGGCTGGGTCGACACTTTCACTGAGCTGTCCACGACGACCCCCAGATCTTTTCCAAGCCCTTTTCACCCATTGGCCGAACTGCTGTGACATCACAGAGCAGGCTGGGCTGACACTTTCACTGAGCTATCCACAACAACCCCCAGATCTTTTCCAAGCCCTTTTCGCCCATTGGCCGAACTGCCGTGACATCACAGAGCGTTGACAACGTTTCTCCGTCTCGGCAAGTTCAGACCCCATTCGCCTCTACCTGAAGCTTGGGTGTTTCGTGTGGGTTTTGTCCTTCCCCGGCCCACAGAGCTGGGCTCGACTCTGAGGCCCGTGCCAGACTCCAGCATCGACGCTGGACCAGAGGCAGGTGCCCAGGCCCTGCGGCTCTCTCCCTTCTTGGGTTGTTGTTTTCCCCACAGATTCCAGTGAGGGTCACCTGCTCTCCTCTGTCTAGGTTTAAGCTCCTGAGCCAAGAAGAAGGCGAATACTTCAACGTCCCCGTCCCCCCCGAAGGAGAAGAAGGCAATGAAGAGCTCCGGCAGAAGTTTGAGGTGAGCAGCAGGCTCCTTTTGTGTGTGGGGGGGATGTCAGGTAGCCCTAAGTCTGGGATGTGGAGGGGTTTTCTGTCTCAGCTCTCCCTGGCTCACCAACTGTTTGCTACCTTGTGCTCGACCTTGTAGATGCTACAGCTGCAGTTTTTCTCAGCTGGGAAAGTCAATGGCTTTTTGCTTTGCCCGCTTGCGAGAGATGTATCCATTGGCTTATGCTTACCGGTGGGGGGATGTTTCCTCTAAGCTGTCGAGTCTTTTGAGCAAAAATTCTACTTTGTGAGCTACTGGCATTCAAGTTGTGAGCGAGCGATTGGGATACTGCATAAATGAGTTTGCTCTGGAGTCATGCTTCCTGAGCGAAGACAAAAATGTGTGAGCCAGGGGCTAAACAACTGCGAGCTAGCTCACACTAACTCAGCTTAGAGGGAACACTGCCGGGGGGATGTTTGATTCTAGTATAAGTCATAGGCCCTTGTATAGGCGGCCATTCCTGACGCAAGCTGTACACGTGTCTCTAGTACTGGATTTACCAATAAACAGTTATCTTCTTATGAAGCCCTGTGTTGTGTAACCTGACTAAGGACCCTGACAGGGGGGGACACCCACACCAGAGTGTCTCCTGCCCCATCCCCAGAATGCTCCTTCAGCAACGCTCTGTGCCCCCGAGGTGCAGTCGGCTGCCCCCCGCATCCTGGTGACGCCACCTCCTATCGGTGTTCAGAATTTGGAGGCGTCTCTTTGGTGCCCTCTCTGGCTTCCAAGCCCTTTTCACCCATTGGCCGCACTGCCGTGACATCACAGAGCCTTGACGACGTTTCTCACCGTTCCGGGTGAACGTCGAGGCTGCATCAAGCTGACAAATGGCAGCGCGGCGCCTGAGTGTGAGAGAGAGGAGACGTGAACCGGGGTGAAAAGAAAGCTTCCTAAAGATGGGGGTGGCTTTGTCCTGGCAGAGAGAAGACGCAGATGGGGAAGCAGAAAGAGGGGACTGGGGAGGGGCTGGAGAGTGTGGGGCAGAGGAGGCGACATGCTGGAGTAAGGAGTGGGGAGGCAGGATGTCAAGGGAGGGGGAGTAAGAAAGAGCCGGGGGAGTGTCCTCTGATGGGGCCTGGGGCAGGAGGGGGGCTGTGCCCCATGGAAGGGGGGCTGTGCCCCATAGCAGAAAGGGAGGAGGAGGAGGGGTTTGGATTTATATCCCGCCCTTCACTCAGAGTCTCAGAGCGGCTTACAAACTCCTTTCCCTTCCCCGCAGTGACAGAGAAGAAGAAGAGTTTGGATTCATACCCCGCCCTTCACTCGGAGTCTCAGAGCGGCTTACAAACTCCTTTCCCCTCTCCTTCCCACCACAGACACCCTGGGAGGTCGGTGGGGCTGAGAGAGCACTTTTGAGGACTGCCCTTGAGAGAACAGCTCCGAGAGAACCCGTGACTGGCCCAAGGTCACACCAGCAGGCTGCAAGCGGAGGAGGAGTCGGGAATCAAACCCGGTTCTCCCAGATTAGAGTCCGCGCTCCTAACCACTCCACCAAACTGGCTCTCAAGGGGAAAGGGGACCCAGACGGGGGGTGGGTGGGTCTGTGAAGGAGGAGGGGCTGGCCGTGTCCCAAGGCTGCGTGGCCACCCGGCAGTCCTCCGCCAAGGTGCCCTTGTGGACATCAGTGGGCTCCTCTCGCCCTCCCCGGATGACGCTGGGCACCATGGATTGGAGAGGGGAAGGGTGCTGAGCCTCCCTGGGGATCTCTGGCTGTCCCCCAACCCCAAACCACCCCTCCCGGGTTTCCCCGGGGCCAAGCGGCTTCGGCGTGGGGTAGAGAGGCACTCCCGGGGCCGTGCAGGGCAGGGAGGGGGCGAGAACACACACCCCCCCGCCGCCGCCTTGCCTGTTCCGCAGCGGCCAGGATTCCGCAGCGGCCAGGAGAGCTGCCTCGGCCGGCGGGCACCCGCTCTGCATCTTAATGAGCCGCCCGTCCAAGCGCTGCAGGCCCCTCCCCTCCTCTCGGCCTTTTGATTCAACGGCCTTTAATTAAATCCTGCAAACGGCTTTGGAGAGAGCCCCTGCCGTCTGCTCTTGGCTCCCGATATTTATCAGCCCCTGGGTGGCTCGTGGAAGGTAACTGCTGAATGGCTTTGGCAAGAGAGACGGGGGGCCAGATCCGGGGGGGGGCAGGGGAGGTCTCCTGTGCAGGAGTTGCACACAAGTGCTCCCCCACACACACACACACTCACCTGAGACTTGTACACTGGAACGTTCCCATGGATTGTGCCCCCACGGCGATCACCGCAGAATCCCCTATGCATGTGTGACGATGTCAGCAAGCATCTTTGCAGGATTCACCCCCCCCCCACTTCCGGTCCTTCCCTCTCTCCCTCCCCTCTTACCGTCTTTGAGAGCCAGTTTGGTGTAGTGGTTCAGAGCGGCGGACTCTGATCTGGAGAGCCGGGTTCGATTCCCCGCTCCTTCTCCACGTGCAGCCAGCTGGGTGACCTTGGGGCGGTCACAAGTTCTCCCAGAGCTGTTCTCTCAAGGGCAGTCCTCCAGAGAGCTCTCTCAGCCCCAGCTACCTCACAGGGTGTCTGTGGTGGGGAAGGGAAGGGAAAGGAGATTGTAAGCCGCTCTGAGACTCTGAGTGAAGGGCGAGGTATAAATCCAACTCTCCTTCTAAACCTCATCCTCCTCCTCCTCCTCCTCCTCTTTCTTTCGTCCAATGGAACTGCACAGCTGCTGAGCAAGATCATTAAACTGCTTTAAAATGCAGCTTTTCGGGCATGGGGGGGGAGTTTTCCATCGCCCAGCCCACATGTTAGAGCAAAGGGAAACACAGTCTGAACTGTCCATTTTATTCTCTTGTTTTGAAAGCCCCCTTATAATGGGATTTGCTAATCGGTTTTATCTGAATCACACAGGGCCATACATTAATTTAATTAGCCAAGATGGGGGAAGGGTACCGATATAACTGGGATGCGAACCAGCCGGAGGAAGGATTCTGAACCCATTCCCTTTCGCAGCCAGCGGGGATTCACCACAGGACACCCAGCGTGATCTGGTGGTGAGACTGTTGGATTCAGAGCCTGTGGGCCTGAGCTCAAATTCCTGCTCAGCCGCAAAGCTGACCTTGATAGCCCCCCCCCCCTCTCAGCTCTCTCTCTCTCTCTCTCTCTCTCTCTCCCCCTCTTCTCAGGGGTTGTGTG